ACTATGGGAAAATGGCAGAAAGATCAGTAGAGGAAAGAGTAGGAGTTAGGAGAGCTAAGGGGAAGGGCAGGTACTGGGAACATAATTAAAACAAGATATATTCCATGGTTTTGTAATGATGTCAAAATAAATTTTACTCTCATGAGTCCCCACCCCCCCCCAAAAAAAACAATGAAATATCCATCCAAAGAAATTTATAAAAATATATAATTAAAAATATAACCCAGGCTGGAGTGGGTTCTGCGGCACTATTATGGGCATGCCACACAGGGAGTCTCTACCCAATTTCAGCAAAAGCCAGAGAGCAGCTTCTTTCTGAGCATTTGAACCCAACAGTCGAATCCCCACCTGCTGCAGTCTGGCTGGGCACAAAATAACCGAGCTGCCAGGAGGCACATGTAGGTTCAAAACAGGAAATCCTTTTCTGCCCGAACTACTCCTGTGAACGCCACCCACAGGGCCTTCCAGGAACCACCAACCAGAAATCCCTCCTCTTGAACTTCCCCAACCAAAGCAAGAACTCCAAAGTAGTGGGAGCCCAAGGCAGACAGCAGGGGTCTAATATACAATTGAATACACAGCTTAACATAACCATCATCATCTCAATGGCTCACTGGCCATCACCTAAATGCCATGCATCATTCCAACTCTGCTGTGGCTATCAGCACACACCCACAACCCTGTCACCCTCATTATGAGAAAGGGAAAAGGGTTCATTTGGGAATCCTCAGCATCTAACCTGTGCACCTGCAGACCAGTGGAGCCTGCACTTTAAAGATAGCTGAACAGAGATGTGCTTGGCTCAGTGACCAGTATTCCCCAGAGGGCCATCATCCAGGGACACTGACTGGGCTCATAGTTAACTTGTAAGGTTTTGTCTCCACACTCGCTGCTTCTTCTGGACATCAGACCCCAGAGCTGCCTGTTAGTGAGGCTTGGAATCCACAGGCAGCCTGCTCTGGTGCCCTGGGTTTGGAGGATGGGGGATTAGAGATTCCTCAGTCCATCCTGATCCTCTGAGGAAGACAAATCTCTTGAAAACACTTGGAATCAGGGACCCTAGACAGAAAAATACAATGATGGGGCTTGTCCCACACAGACTGAGAATCTGAAGACAAATTAGGGGAAGAGATACTGCACAAAGAAGGAATCGGATTTTCTGTCTTGTAAAGCTGAGCAAAGGGTGTCAGGGACATTCAGTGCTAGACCTGCAGGAGGAGAGATGCTCAGGCTCAGCAGAGGCATAAAGAAGAGTGGGGGGGACTCAAGGCCCAGCTTCCTGAGGGATGGGGCTTTTCTGATGTCCCTCTCTTCCTAACACCTGGTCCAGCTCTCCTGTATCTCCTCAACAAGTTGCAAAATATCACGCCAAGCCCTGGCTCCTGACCACATCTCACACAGAGGCTGGTTCTCACAGGCCATGGGGACAGGAGGCTGCATGCCAGGGAGGAACCTGGCCACGTAATCCTCACAGTAACATTTGATCATCTGTCTGGTGTCTAGTGTGGCCAGACCTTGAGTCCACCATGTTCCTGGGAATTTTTAATCAGCTTATTGATGAGAGAGGCAAGACAGACACTCTTCACCAAGGGGTGATTGATCACAGATGGAGCACAGCCCAGGGGTCCTGATCGTCCTTTCCAGGGGTCACTGTGGCAGGCTGCTGGGAGCCCCCCTCTCCAGGATCTCCTTGTAGTCCATCCTCTCTCACAGGTCTGAAGGTTGAAGTTAACCCTGAGCATTGTACATGCCTATGCTAGATGTTCTGCTTTTACTCTGACAGCTGCTGCTTACTCTGGGCTGCTGACTTCTGCACTTGGGCCACACATGTTCACTGCTGCTGTACCACAGAGCACTGGTGCTGCATGAGGTCATGGTTTGGCAGCTCATCTTTGGGAATCTTCAGGCTGCACTGGCTCCTTCAAGACTTCTGAATTATGTTGAATAAAATCTCTTTGAAAATATGAGTGGAAAGGGGTTACATCATAACCCAGGTATCATCACTGGAACCCAGGTCCTTCCAAGTGCTGGGGACAGGTTTTCTGTTCATAAGGCTTGACCCCCTCATGCTCCCAATCAGTGCCCCTCTGCAGATGCTCCAAGTGACCCATCCTGTTGGCTACTCTCCAACTGAGTCTTCCTTCCTAGTGACAAGCTCCATGGCCACGGGATGGTTGTGATGACACCATCAGATGTCACAATCATGAGCATTTGCTCTGGGTGTGGTCAGTAATCTTTATACCCCTGCCTGCCTGGAGCTGGGGCCTCAGGATCACTGGAGAGGCCCTGTTCCAGGCCCCAGGCTCCCCCCACAAGGGAAGAGATGGAGAAGGAGAGGAAAGAAGACAGAATTAGCAATATTTAGCCTTAAAAACTGAGAGTAGCCTGGAGTGCAATGAGACATACAATTCTCTGTCGCTCATAGCTCACACCTCAATATTTCCTGAACTTTCCATATGAGACCCTCTCAGCCCCACAAGGATCATGCAAAAGACTCATCAGTTATTAAGAAGTTACTAACAAGGAACTCATAATTGCCTTATCAATTAGCAAGTGTGGAGAAAGTTTTTCAGCCTTGTCCTGGGCTCCCCAGGCCTGCACTGTCATTGCCTCTCCAGGTGAGGTGATAATTGCAGCCCAGAGGGGAAGTGAGGTCACAGAAGCACAGACCTTTATCTCAGGGCCCAGCTGCCTCCCTCCCTCCATGCTGGCTGTCATGACCTCACACTGAGTCCAGCACCTTGCACACAAGAAGCAAGGTGAGTGTTTTCTGTTTCTGTCACAGAGGCAGTGTGTGTAAAGGGATAACTTTGAGAAAGTGCTCAGTTCTGGAAAGGATTTGGGGTTGAAACAGATTTATTGCCAATAGAGACCAGGGAGAGGAACATTTGTTTGTTGTGTGCTGTGTTAGTAAAGGAGTCATGTGGCTGAACTATTGCCAATTGCTCTTGGCTCCCAATGTTATTTAATAAAAGAATACACTGAGGATATTTCTAGGTGAATAATACCATTCACAGTGAACTCTGATTTGGAAGGGGCTTAAGGACAACTACTTTGCTCTTCACATTACTTTAGACAGAACTTAGGATACATTTTGAACTGCTATGATGGCTGTGTGTGTAATGCTTCATGCCTATAGTAAAGATGGGACTGAAACCATTAGGGTCACCTCACTTGGGGCTGTTCTGGAATAAAAGATGTTCTTTTCCAACTCTACATTCCAATCACCTATGGGAGACAGGAATCGCATCTCCTCTGAATGCCTGTGCTGTGATGGCTGAGGTGAGACTCTCTCCCTGCTGGACACACAGAGAAGGTAACATTATAGTGATGAGAGATGGTCAATGGTTGTCAGAACCAAATGAATATGTGATTTCCCATGGCTTAATAATATCCCAACATTAATCACAAACTCATGGCATTTTCCTTTGTTTTTTATTTTATTCATCACTGAATTCACATACTCCAGCTTCTACTGACATACCTCTTATATTAAGTGTCCTCCACAAATCCTGCTTCATTACTGACAGTTTCACTAATGTAGCTCTCAGGAAAGAGAAACTTTTAGCCTTAAATCAGTGAAGACTTCATTTCTACCATGAACTGCTTTATCAGATATTAGTACATCATATTTCATAGTTTATGACCCAAGTAATATTTTTGAATATTTTATTTATAGATTTCAGTATGGTTTTATTCCAGAAATGACAATATTTCTGCTGTGGAACTGTCTGTTTAGAGGGGATATTCTTCCATTCATTTATTTTAAATAATAAAAGCACAGCATTTTGTAACATCTAATTTGATTTCTCATAATTTTTCCTCCTCATTTGTTTTTAACTTTTTATTAGTATATTATAGTTACACATAATACTGGGGCTCATTCTGACATAACTATGCATGCTTAGCATATAATTAGCTCCATTTAAGTCCTCACTGCTTTCCTGTACCTAACTTCCTCCCTCTCCTTCTTCCCGTGTGGAATTCAACCTTGGGTCAGTCTTACATTCATTAAAAGTAGAGACAGGGCAATTTCTGTGGGACGGCATGTGCATTTGTCAGTTTGGAATTGCTGGCACAGAGTTTTATATCTGATCCAGTAAGTGTATACCAACAGTTTTGCCACCTTTGCACCAATTTTAATACCCATTGCCAGTTCATGAGATCCCGGGCCTATCTTCATCCTTCCCAATTGTGGTACTTCCTGCGATTTTATTTTAGATTCTGGTTGGCTTGTTCTTATACTGGGGAGTGGCTTCAATAAAAACACTGAACTTCCTCCCCATGTTTACTATTCACTGAATTAAGCAATTGTCTTAAGTACCTTTTGGAAAGGTTTGCCAATTTTTAATCTATTGTGCAATTTGTAAGACTGTTAGAGTTGGATACCTCAAACTCACTCACCCTGGGTATGGCATCTAATAAAAGTTAATTCTCAATTTAATGTACCTTAACTTCTCATTTCAACAATATGTTTGATATATTTGTGCTTTTTAATAAACATTTTCTTACTTAAGACATCAGAAATATTCTTTTTGTTATTATAAAAGGTCCATTGCTTACTTTAAATTTTAGCTCAGAAATTCTCTGAGATCTGATTTGTTGTATGGAGACAATGTTGATTGAAGTTCTTTTTCCAATGTGAATAGCAAATATCAGTTCATTCTGAAACATAAAATGCTAAATTCTTTCTATGACCTTGCTCTCACTATTTATTGCTCCTCCCAGGTTAGCATCACCTGATCATCAAGGCTCAGATTTCTAGAAAGCACACTGTCAATTCTCCCCAGTAACTTGTGCACCTTGAGGTCTTTGAAATCCTGCAGGTGTATGCAATGAAAGCTGCTCTTGGTGTCAAAAAATTATTTTAAGAAGGGAATCTCACTATGTTGCTCAGGCTGGCTTGAAATTCCTGTGCTGCCGTGATCCTCCTGCCTCAGTCTTCAAGTTAGCAAGTGGTTACAGGTGCTCAAAACAGCACTGTGTACAGCTTATTGTTAATGAGTCATTTTGCTCAGAGGAATGACTGTTGCCATAATGTAAAGGATGATGTGCTGAATGACAATATGACCTTCCAGAATGTGGCAGTAGGACTGATGTTCTTATCACTGCTTGCTGTTGGAATTCTGGGAAATTTCTCTCTGTTTTATTATTATTTAGTCCTTTCCTGCAATGACTGTACAGTAAGGTACACAGATATGATTCTCAAGCACCTAATTATAGCCAATTCCTTGGTCATTCTCTCTAAAGGAATTCCCCAGACAATCACAGCTTTTGGATTGAAGCATTTTCTCAATGACCTTGGATGCAAACTTATTTTGTACATTCAGCGAGTGGGCAGGAGTGTGTCCATTGTCATCACCTGCCTCTTGAGTGTCTTCCAGAACATCACCATCAGCCCCATGAACTCCTGTTGGCAGGATCTCAAAGGAAAAGCTCCCAAGTACATTGGCTTCTCCATTTCCCTCTGCTGGATCCTGTACATGGTGGTGAATTCCATTTTTCCTCTCTATATGCTCAGCAAATGGAGTAGTGAAAACCTGACAGAGAAAAGAGATTTTGGGTACTGTGCTTCTGCAGGTCGTGACAAAATAACCAACTCGTTATATGCAGCCTTATTTGTATTTCCTGAAGTTGTCTTTTCCATGCTCATGATCTGGTCCAGTGGCTCCATGGTTCTCCTTCTGAACAGGCACAAGCAGAGGGTTCAGCACATTCACAGCATCAAAGTTTCCCCCAGAACCTCCCCTGAGTCCAGAGCCACCCAGAGAATCCTTGTCCTGGTGGGCACCTTTGTGACTTTCCACACCCTCCCCTCCCTATTGAACGTTCATATTGCTCTATTTTCCATCCCCACAGGGTGGCTGGTGGACACCAATGACCTAATAGCAGTGTGTTTCCCCACTGTCAGCCCCTTTATTCTCATGAGCCGTGAGTCCACTGTATCCACTTTATCCAGGCTCTTCTTCATCCGCATAAAGAATACAAAGTCCTGCTGGGTACTGTGGCATGTGCATGAAACCCCAGCAACTCGGGGAGCTAAGACAGGAGCATCCCAACTTAAAGGCCAGCCTCATCAAGTTAGTAAGTCCCTGTCTTAGAAATGAGAAAGAAAAAGAGATGGAGATGAAGCTCAGTGGTACTCAGTGGTAAAGCACCCAGGGTTCAGTCCCCAGTATCAGGATACAACTCAAACGTTTCCCCATTGTATCATAAGTACATGATTGCATGTTTTCGCATCACGTTCACTAGCCATCCTAGTTCCTGTTGATCAAATGGAATGGATGAGTCCTCAGTCCTTCCAGGTCATTTGAATCAAGTGCTGCTCTCCTGGAAAGTTGGCCTGGAGCAAATGCATTGGAGAAATGAGTGTGGACCTGTGGAAGGATAATTCTCCTTAGCATCGCCAGTAAGTTTATAACTCCCAGAAAAGCTTTGTCCCAAATTGTCTTTTGTTGGATTCCTCTGAAAACAGAGGTTGAGAAGACAGATTCAGGATTAGGTATTGGAATAAAGGAGAGAACTGTTTACTGCACGGTGAAATAAAGATAATATCTCTTTCCGTTGCAAGGTAGGTTTGTCTGCAGTTCTCCTTAAAAAATTTGTCTCCTTACATGCAGGGACCTTGTGATGTGATGCAAACTCCTGTCCTGTGTAGCATCCACATGGGCCACTTCACACACCCAGACTGTAGTTGGCAGGAGAAGGGAAACTGGTGGGAGCACAGTGCTCCTGCTGCCTGCAGTGCCACAGGGAAAGAAGTGCCTGGTTCTCATCTAGGTAGCGTATATCTTCTGCTGGAATCTGTTCAAGGGTTGCAGCATAATCTCACAATTTCACATTTTGTGAAAACACCCACAGCTGCCTTTCAAAACAGGAGGATAGATGGACATGTCTTACCTATGCTTTTAAAAATAGCACTTACAACTCTCTAAATCAGAATATATTCATGTATTTGTGCTAGGTTGTAGACTTAGGAGATTCGATTCATCTATAAACATTGCAGTCGCTGGTGCAGGCAGGGTTGTGAGAAGTGTCACAGCAGGTCCCACAGGTGGAGAACTGAAAAGGGGAGGGGAAGATACATGAGGCTTCCTGGGTGACAGCATCCTGGAGGGACTTTGGTAAAAAGCAATTATTATAGGAACATTTATTGATATACACTCCATTGCCCTGGTATCTCTGTCCCTGCCTGTCACCCATGTGATACCTTCTGAGAAGGCCACATGAGTCACTGAGGTTTTTCTGTTGAAAGTGGACTCTTTGGGGAATGTTTGAAAGAGCTTGAGTTTTAAGGCTTCGCTTATTTAAGGCAAAGTCTAATTTTATGGAAAAGGTGAGTTGGGTACAGAGGGGATTCTGATATGGCAAACCCCTCAGTATTGTGGTAAGTTCTAGGGAAATGTCAACCTTTAGAGGTTGGGGAAGTGGAGTGGTAAATGCTGGGTTTCCAAGGTGTGAAACTAGCCCCAATAGCAGTGGGTTTACCTGTGGACTGAACAGACTCTTTCCAACAAGTACCTTTTATGTGATGAGAACAGAGATGAAATAAAGGGAGGCCCAGAGATGAGGAGAGAGGTGGAGCTGGCCCTGCACATCCTGGGGAATGCTCACTCCGGAACCTGCCTGGAGGCTTGCTGAGAGGCTCAGGCCTCACCTTCCTCCAGTGGCTGCCTCAGCACTCCCTCACCATGTGAGCCCTGGCACTCAAGGGCATTTACTAAAAACACCCAGGGCCACTGTTAACAGTGAAGTGTTGAGGGAGGGACGGAACACAGCTGTGTGGTGGACAAGACTGAGCACAGGACACAGGGAAATGGACGACAGACGTGAGATGGTGGAGCAGTGAGCCTGGAGGGCCAGGTCTAACGATGATGGAGGGGAGAGAGGGTGAAAGGCAGAAGCATGTCACGGGTTGCTCCAAGGGTAAGACCAATGCCAGGCTATGACTACAAAGGGAAGAGTGGGCCAGGAAGGCACAGGCATAAACCCATTGGGTTCCTGGTGGGTGAATGGTAAGGTGACAGGAACAAGGGTGTGATGGCAACACAAGACATTGGCAATGGGGGCCAATGGTCAGTGGGAAGCATGTGATGTATACCTGCTGTGGGCAAAGATCAGGAGAGCAGGAGCCCACCTTGGTGGACAGTGACTGAGGCGGATTCAGAGTGTAAGCAAAGGAGGTAGAGCCTGGGGAGGGGACAGACATGGGGAGGGAAGAAGGATATGCACAGGAAGGGAGGGAGCCTGAGGGAGGGGACCCTGGTTGTGAGTGCACTGAAGCACCCAGGAGCAAAGGGCAGGGCTATAGGGTGGTGGATGGTGGTCAGGGGCAGCATACACTTCATAGAGAAGTGGAGGGGCCTGGACGTTGAGCACTGTGGATTTGAGGGTGTTGGGCAGAGGGCACAAGGAATGGGCTAACATTAGATTTGGGAGTAGATACAGAGAAGGGGAAGGAAGACACAGGTAACAGAGTTTGCAGGAGCCACTGAAGGCAAGGAGGATTGTGGTCAGACTGTGTTCCTTGGAACAGGGAAAAAAGGTTTGTGTTTTGTCCTGGTTTTTGTTGTTGCTATTGTTTCTTTCTTTCTTTGTTTTCAAAAAGTTTACAGAATGTGGCTCCAGGGAATATATATTAGAAAGGGTGGGAGGAAGTGAAGGACAATGAAGGCTTATGGATTTCTAAAGATCACAGCAATGGAGGGTGGAGGATGTAGCCAGATGTGTAAGGGAGTGAACCTCAAGGGTCTCCTTTCCTTCCAGAGCCAGGCTCTGCAGCACACACTGTTCACTGTGCTTTAGCTTGGCACCTGTTGCATGCATTGTGGCCCTACAGATGCCCATGACAGAGGAGAAGCTTCCAATAGCTGAGGCATCTGGACAAATACCAGAAGATGCTTTCAGGATACTCCAGTCCTGAGTCCCGGCTGCAAAGACTATTTTAAAAACGGTGCCCTACCTGGGTTTCTGTTCCTTCCTGGGCTCAGTGTAGGGCTGTCTGGATGACCTATGTAAGCCATCTGCTGTCTTCTCAGGCTAGATCTGCACATCCTCAGATGCATGCACTCAGGCTCACGGGGGATCACATGTCCTTGGAGCCAGTGGATACACAAAACCAGTCAGCACACTGCTCAAGGAAGCCCCACAGTAATGACTCCCTCAATGGATTCCTGAGCAGTGACCCCACAACCCAATCGCTGGCCCTCCTGTCTACAGAACAGCTTCCCTGAGGTTCACAGAATAAAGAACCCAGGTGCTGGAGGACATTGGCCTGCACATGATACCACTGCTTCACAAGAGTCCTCTGACCCTAGCCCTCTGGCACTCAGCTAAGTGCACCCACACAGTCTTGCCCCAGATCCAATATGCTGCCTCTGCTGCATGTGGACACTGTGACTGGTGTCCACTGTCCAGGGCTTAGCGTGTCCTCCCAGGGCTACTAGGGACCTGACCAAATTTCCCAAGGGCCAGTGTCAGAACCCGCTGACAATCTGTAATACCTGTACAGCAGAGATGCATAAAGAAAGACACATGCACACACACACACACACACACATCCAGTAGAGAATGAGCAGCAGCTTTTTTTCCCTACTTCTTTTTTTTTTCGTTTTTAAAATTTTTTTTAGTCATACATGACAGCAGAATGTATTTTGACATAAAATACATACATGGAATGTACATACATCAATCATATTGTCTATTCTACTCTAATGCCCTTCCTATCCCCCGTATTCCTGCCCTCCTCTCCCATGCTTTCTCTCTATCCAATCTAATGTGACACACTTTTTTTTTCTTTTTATCATTACAACATCATATATTTATTCTGTGTAACAATGAGGTTCTCCTTCCCTCTTCCCCTTCTCTCATTTTCCCCTCCCACCTCTCTTCCCTATTTAGGGGTAGTCTTCTTCTCATGCTTTTCCTCCCTATCCCATTTTGAGTCACCCCCATTTATCAGATAAGACTTTTGGCATTTGTTTTTTAGGGATTGGCTAACTTCACTTAGCATAATCTGCTCTAATGCCATCCATTTGCCTGCAAATGTCATGATCTTGTTATTTTTTAGTACTGAGTAATATTCCATTGTGTATAAATGCCACATTTTTTTAATCCATTCATCTATTGAAGGTCATCTAGGTTGGTTCCACATTCTAGCTATTATGAATTGTGCTGCTATAAACATTGATGTGGCTGTGTCCCTGTAGTATGCTCTTTTTAGGTCTTTTGGGTATAGTCTGAGAAAGGGAATAGCTGGGTCAAATGGTGGTTCCATTCCCTGCTTTCCAAGGAATCTCCATACTGCTTTCCAAATTGGCTACACCAATTTGCAGTCCCACCAGCAATGTATGAGTGTACATTTTTCCCCCCGCATCCTCACCAGCATTTATTGTTGTTTGACTTCATAATGGCTGCCATTCTTATTGGATTGAGATGTTATCTTAGAATAGTTTTAATTTGCATTTCTCTGATTGCTAGAGATGGTGAGAATTTTTTCATGTATTTGTTTATTGATTGTATATCCTCTTCTGAGAAGTTTCTGTTCAAGTCCTTGGCCCATTTGTTGATTGGGTTAATTACTTTTTTTTTGTTTAACTTTTTGAGTTCTCTGTATACTGTAGAGATTAGAGCTCTATATGATATTTGAGGGGTAAAAATTTGTTCCCAGGATGTAGGCTCCCTACTCACCTCACATATTATTTCTCTTGCTGAGAAAAAACTTTTTAGTTTGAATTCATCCCATTTGTTGATTCTTGGTTTTAACTCTTGTGCTATAGGTGTCTTATTAAGAAATTTGGGGCCTGCCCCCACGTGATGAAGATTAGGGCCAGCTTTATCTTCTATTAGACACAGAGTCTCTGGTCTGATTCCTAGCTCCTTGATCTATTTTGAGTTGACTTTTGTGCATGGTGAGAGAAAGGGATTCAATTTCATTTTGTTGCATATGGATTTCCAGTTCTCCCAGCACCATTTGTTGAAGATGCTATCTTTTCTCCATTACATGGTTCTAGCACCTTTGTCTAATATAAGGTAGTTGTAATTTTGTGGATTTGTCTCTGTGTCCTCTATTTTGTACCATTGGTCTACCAGCCTGGTTTGG